CAGCCGTGGGGAGGCCCCAGCCCCCGCTTCACCCCGGGCTGGACAAAGACAAGCTGTCCTGCCCCAGCCCCGGACCCGCGCTGTCCCCGACCCGGCTGCTGCCCACGGGAAGGCTCTGCTCCGCGGTCGGCACAGCGCGGGGCCGACCTCCTGCGGAGACACCGCGTGCCAAAGGCCTTCCCGGCAGCGTCACTGACACCCGCCACCGCTCGGGGAAACTCGATCTTTATGCCATTTAAACTGTAAGTGAATCAGCAGCGCTGCCCAAATTCATTTCTAAATATAAGGGAAACCTGAAGTTGTAAGCACAATTTGGCTGCTCCGTTCACGAGGGCTGGAGCCGAACACCCGCGATCGAGCGGAGCGGTGCCGCTACCGGCAGGAGGTCCGAGCCTCCAGCGCAGCCCAGAGTAGAAGGGGATTTGGGAATGGACATGTTTCCATTTGACACCGACTTTACAGACAGCCCGAGCACTGGGATTGTCAGAGATGATTTAATCGCCTGCGATTTGGAGGAAGATACGGAGTCACGGGTTTGCAAAGTGTCCCGGCCATCAACGGCACAGGAGATCCCCAAGGGGGATCCCGCGTCCAGCACCCCCCGGCCGGCCGAGCGGCAGCCCCCGGCACGCTCTCGCCTCTGATGGGGCTTCCAGCCCCAACAACTAACAAAGACGTGCCGGGACAAAGTAAAACCACCGACGATATATCACCACATTATGAGACACGAGGTCGACAGCTGAGTGGCTTCAGTCGCTGAAGAGATAATGGATGCTGGATGGTGTCCAGGACTTTGAATCCCTCCCACCTCCGGAGAGCTCTTACACCAAGCGAGTTCTGGCATCTGGCGCAGCCCCGCCGCCTCGACCCAGAACTGACACGGCCCGAGACCGCCCTTGCGCGCAGCAAACAGGATCCGTCGCTCTGCTCGCTCGCGAGGTGATGCACAGCGGCACGAAAAGCATCAGCAGAGGACCTGGCACGTCAGACCCGCTGCGCCCTGGGGCGCCCAATCCCCGGCCTATTTTTATCAGTGGGCAGCAATGCTCTTTAACCGATGCTCTAACGCAATAGTGCCAAATGCATGTGCCATGAGACAGCTCTGGCTTATCTGCTGTACTTGGGTGGCGAGCAGGACACATTCACATGCCCCAGAACCTATGCCAAACTTCTGCTAATAAAAGAGAAAGAGTCAGTCACCAGCTCTTGTGACTGCCGTGAACTTTCCAAATGCCAGAGCAAAACTGGTGCAGAGAGGTCCCCTTGCGTCAGCCTCTGATTTAGAGCTTTACCCTTCTGTTTCCTAATTACCCCTACCTTATCAGTTTTGCATAGGTTAACGCCGACACCTGTAACAGCCGCCACGGGCTTTGCTCAGTGAACATCTTAACGGTGAGAAAAGACGGGGGAATTGGTAGAGGAGAAGGAAAGATGTCAAAAGTGAAACACAACAGATCAAAACTTTTTGCAAATAGAAATACAGAGAGAGAAAGGAGCGCTGGCATTTTGTGAAGGCAAGAGAAAGGAAGTCACGTTGCAAAGGAATAATAAGCAAATGGGAAGAGGAAGAAGACCACAAATGTCACTCATTTCCCCCAAGGGGTCACAAACACATTCATAAGACTGTTAACAAATTATTAAGCATTTGTTTCCTCATTACTACACCTATTTCACATGTGGTTTTGCCAAGTCTGAGACGCGTGAGCCGGGACTGGCAGAGGGCAGCTGCCGCTGCTCCAACCCAAGTGTGTGTTTGCTCAAAATGGTTCTTCAAAGGTCTCCTGCGTGTCCGGACAGACGGACTGCCGCGGGGCTGCAGCTGGAAATACCACCTGATAGTTCAGGGGATGAAATGGTCCGTTTGGTCACACACAGCCATAGCCAACCTCAGCACCAGCCTGGACCCCGCCATGGAGCAGGGGAGGTTCTGCTGGAGGGGCCAAGGCCTGGGATGGCAGCGAAAAAACCAAAGAGGGGAATGGCTCGCATTTCTTTTGGGGTCAAGTATAACCCCTGGGCTATAGCTGACACAGGAGCTGGGCTGGGAGTAGGGCTACAGACTCTCCAACGCTGACCAACGAGCATGACCCAACACAGGGCTCTGCACAGCTATGGGGTGATGGGAACCC